GCTTTATATTTGTATGGGGACGAATGGATTGGATGTTAGGTTCAGATAGGATGGATATATCTAAGCCCGTTGCCACTAGGAAAAAAATCATCCTGCTGTTCAGATTGATCAAGTTTTCTTTAAAGAGTTTTACTGGAGCAAAATTAATGGTTAAGATAGCTTATGTTTTTCACTGGGATTAGACTTGTGTTTGCTCAGAAGATCCAGCTGAGCTAACTGTCTCTCAAGTAAAAGAAAAACGAACCTAACTAGTCTGATATAATTTTTCTGCTTCACTGAATCCTTTTTTTATTGAGGGAATCTTCACTGAATCCTAATATGGTGACGCTGAATTACCATAAGTAAGCATGAGTATGTTTTCCTTACTTTGAAAGGATGGACGCTGCAAGTAGTTTGAGGTTTCTAATTTTCAGTTCTGACTATTAAACATTCATTTTTGACTGAACAAGTGGGTGTTTTGATTGATGCGTCAGGTCAAATATGTATGCATATGATTAAGGCGAGTGGTGGGTTTCTCAGTTTTACATTGCAATGACCACTGTTCCAATGAACACGAACACGAACACGAACTTATAATTATACACTAGGCCCGCATGATTTAGTTTTATATAAACTCAGTTATGTGTTTTGGCTACAGTAGGCCCTCTTTCTACCTGGTGGATTTGTTATTGTGTTGGTAATAAATCCTTCTATTTTAATCTGATTTAGATTTGCCTTTTCTGGTCATTGGTTAATTTCCGTAGCTAAATTCTGCACTTGCTTCTCTTTTTCGCATTGCTTCATGTCATTAATTAGTTAGCTGTTCAAAGCTGCAGAACTGCAGAGAGTTCCATCCAAGAGTGTTTCACCGTCGCGGTGGCCATCGGGCAGGCCTCACCGGCAAGTTAAGTTTAGCGTATTATCGATGGTGTTCTGTTCTGATATATATATAGGCGAGGAGTACTGGGAATCTTGGCAATGGAGGTTTTGGCTGGAAATTGCGTTGCTGCTCTGGTAGAAATCCTGAAATTGCGTTGCTGAATGGTGTATGTCTGATGTTCGATGAGAGCCAATCGTCCATGGTTGTGGCCTTCGGCAAGGCGGCCCTCTGTCTCCGCTTCTCTTCGTCCTCGCGATCGACCCTCTCCAGAAGCTGCTTGAGGTCGCCACTAAAGGGCTATTGCACAAAATCCGTGGCCGAGGTGTGGCGCTGCGCACCTCCCTCTACGCCGATGATGCTGTTGTCTTCTTGGCCCCAATCAAAAGCGACGTCGACAACCTCTCCAACATCTTGCATCTATTTGGGAACGTCACTGGTCTGTGCACAAACTTCCTGAAGAGTTCGGTCGTCCCAATCCGATGCGGGAACATCAACCTGCCGCATATCACCCAAAGCTTACCTGCTGTGGCTGCTTCCTTCCCCATCAAATACTTGGGCCTGCCCTTATCTGTTTGGCAACTCAAAACAGTGGACTTCCAGTTCCTCTTGAACAAGGCGGCGGCAAAGCTAGGCGTCTGGGACGGCCAAAATATTACCGCCATTGGGAGGGCAGCCTTGGTCAAGTCTGTGCTCTCCTCCTTGGCGGTCTACTTCATCACCCCACTCATTGTGCCGACGGGCACTCTACGGCAGCTCACAAAGCTTCAGAGGGCCTTCCTTTGGGCAGGATCGGACAAGACAACCGGTGCAAAATGCAAGGTGAACTGGGATATCGTGTGTAGGCCTTCCGAGTTTGGGGGCCTTGGCGTACTCAACACGGAAAAATTTGCGAGGGCATTAAGGCTGCGTTGGCTTTGGTTTGAGTGGAAGGAGTCGTCCAAGATGTGGGTCGGTTTGGGGAACCCGTGCGACGACAAGGACTATGATCTTTTTTACGCCTTCTCCACCATCACTGTTGGCAATGGTGCCCACACACCTTTTTGGGATGCTCCTTGGGTGCATGGGAGAAAGCCCAAAGACATTGCTCCGCTCATTTATGGTGCCGCCACAAGGAAGAATTGGAAAATCAGATAGGCTTTATTGGACAATGCGTGGATATCCAAAATAAAGCTGTCACACACAATTTCTCGATTCACCATTTCAGCCAATTCCTCCTGCTCTGGTCTAGCATTCAAGGCTTCCAACTGCAACACGACGCGGAGGATGAGATTGTGTGGAAGCATACTGACAGTGGACTCTACACCGCGGCTTCTGCCTACAAGGCGCAATTTCATGGAATGATCCGCTCGCCTCTAGAGCATGTTATTTGGAAAGTTTGGGCCCCTCCCAAAGTGAAGTTCTTCGCTTGGTTGGCCGCCCAAAACAGAGTGTGGACCGCTAACCGATTGGCCAAACGTGGATGGCCAAACTGTGGCCTTTGCCCCCTCTGTAGGCGTGAGCAGGAAACAGTGGATCACCTTCTCTTCTGATGTCGGTTCACCATCCGGGTATGGAACATGATCAAGGGGTGGCTGCAGATTGAAAGCATTGATACCGCAAGCTGACAGCACTTTGAATCCGCCAAGGAGTGGTGGATCGCGCTCTCCGACTACTCCATCCCCAACAGAAAGGCGGTGACCTCCCTCACATTGCTCACCTCTTGGGCCAACTGGAACGAACGTAATGCAAGGGTGTTTTGCCACAAAAGTGCCCCGCCATTTGTAATTCTAGCCCTCATCAAAGAGGAGGCGGCACTTTGGGTCGCCGCCGGTGCTAAGAAGTTGAGTTCAATCATTTCGGGAGAGTAGTCCCTTTGTAAGGCGGTGTTGTAATCCCTCAAACTCTTTCTTCTCTCTTAGTTAATATATGAGGCAAATCTTTTGCCTCCTTTCAAAAAAAAAAAGATAAATGCGCTGTTGTGCTGCTGAGGCAATAAAAGCAACGCCCCCAGTATAGCATTTTTCACCAGCTGCGCCCAAGCAAAAGCAATGACGCTGATGCGTTTCCAATCAAGTTGAGCTTAATCATGTTCAGAAGGCATAACTAAACACGTCCAAAAGTATACGTACATCGATTGAGACGGGGCATGCAGTGCACAGGCAAGTTTTACTACTCCCTCCATAAACTAATACTCCCTCCGATCCGAAAATACTTGTCATCAAAATGGATAAAAAGAGATGTATCTAGAACTAAAATACATCTAGATACATCCCCTTTATCCATTTTGATGACAAGTATTTCCGGACGGAGGGAGTATAAGACACTATTTTAGTGATCTAAATGCTTTTATATTAGTTTACAGAAGGAGTAGTTGTCTAGGCCCAAACATTTCCAAACTCTGCTGTCCACGCTAGTTGCGCTGACAGAAATATTCATTGAAAAAATAAAACTGAATGTGCATAAGGCTTACACTGCTCGAGAAGAAGAAAATAATTAAGGTACAGAATGAAACAGAGGGATGCCTTGGGTGCAGACTTGCGGCGCCCTTGAAGGCAGACTCAACTTGAGCGCGTACATCCTCGTGATTTTCCATCGACTCCTTGCGGCTGTATTGGCGCCAGACCTTGATGTCTTGGAGGCCTCTCCACTCTTTCCAGCCGAAGCCCGAATTGTAGGGTGAGCTTTTGTGCCTTGGCCATAGCTCCTGCCTCAAAACTCATCACCCGACAGGTGCAAGACACACAAATCAAGGATCTGGAGGCAACATACATAGCTCACCAATCCATTTGGGAACTCTTCTAATCTTCCATTTGAGTACATAGAGTACCTCCTCTAATTAGTTCAACTATCTTGTTGTCAGGGGCACTGCATCCTTGCGTCCAACCGATCTCCTTGAGGCCTCGGAGCGTTCGGAGGGAGGAGACCAAAGCATCCTCTTGTTCCAAGGTGAAGCGCTTGCTCCAAGTGCTTAAGTGCAATTTCTTCAGATTGGTCAGCTCACCAAGGCCTTTGATATCTTCCAGCGAACTCTCCGACATATCCCAACATTTCAGGGTGCGGATTGATTTCATCTTCTTGATCCCTTCAGGCAACCCTACACCGTATGGAAGCACCAGATGAAGCAAGTTGGCCAAACAACTTATGTCTAAAGGAAAGCTTTGCACCCGCTTGCAATCTATCACCAAGGTTAGCAAATGCACAAGCCCTTGAATTTCTGCCGGGAGCGCGATGACTGCTGTTGAGGCTGAAACATTTAAATATCTCAGTAAAAACAAATGGCCAACTGCAGTGAGGTCAACTGTCGTTTCCAAACCATGCGGGGACTCAAAGGCAAGCACCCGTAGATACTTAAACTGTGAAAGGGGAGGTGTGTATTGGGACTTTGGCCACAGTGCATATGATCGAACGTGCGCCATGCTAGTAGCAAGGGCCTCCGACTTTGAACCACCTACACATGATTGGAGGGATAATCGACGAACCTTGTACTCAGAGTTGCACGATCTTACGATGTCTTCATAGTTATATGCTACACTGAGAAAATTATCTTCTTTACTCTTGCTTAGGATCAAATCAAGCATCATATCGTGCACCATGCAAGAAAATACCTCCCCCTCTTCTGTCACTATGGGCTGAATCATACTTCTATTGACAAGCTCATTGAAATAACTTTTCGCAACATCATCCAAATCCGCTCCGTGCGAACTACAAATAAAGCCTTCGGCTATCCATTGTCGAACTAGGTCATCCCTCCGAATCAGACAGTCTTCCGGATACATGCCAAGGTACAAAAAACATGGCCGGAGATAAACAGGAAGATGCAGTATACCCCTCATCTCTTTCAAGGTAGGTTTTGTGGCAGACTTGGCACCAAGAGAATTCTTTATGCTCTCCCATTCACTCAATGGCCTCTCTTCATGGCTAGCTAATAGGCTAGCTATTGTGATAATTGCAAGTGGCAATCCGCCACACTTCTTGAGGATTTGAGCTGAAATTTCTTTAAACTGTGGTAGGCAGACATTTTCGGGCCAAGATACCCTACTAAAAAATAGTCTTCTTGAGTCTTCCTCTTTGAGTGGCTTCATACTGTAAATGCAGGTACGATCACTCAAACATGCTATGGTAGCTACATCATCCAATCGTGTGGTTACCACTACTCTACTTCCGTTAGCATCGTCTGGAAAGGCACAACTAATAGTACTCCATGCAGATTGATCCCATAAGTCATCAAGTATAATTAAGTACCTATTGCAAGTCATGCATTATATCAGTATATGGTTGCAAGGTATATAGAAGAATCAAAACTTAAATGAAGGCAAAGTATGTTAATAATGATTTCAAATGTCAGTATTAGAAGAAAAAATACCTTTTATGTTTGAGGTGTTCTCTAAGGCGGTCGATAACATCTTGCAGCTCGTAAGCATGCGAATAATCCCGCATCCCAAGCTTTAGTTGTAGGCCATTAAGAAGGCTTTTCACTTCTGGCCTTTGGGAGACCGAGAAAAATGCCTTGCAATCAAACTGGCCTCCAACCTTATCATACACTTGTTTGGCAAGGGTGGTTTTCCCCAAGCCTCCGAACCCCACGATGGAAAGCACTTTGAGTTTCTTCCCAGAATCCATCAGCAAACTCACCAGCTCTTCTCTCGGGGCATCGATACCGACAAGGCCTGCTGCCTCCTTGTAGAGCGCTGGGATCCGAGGATCCACAGCCACAGGGCCAGGACTCGAATTGATGCAAGCATCAATATTGTACCTCTCGCGCCGAGCGCTTGCCTCCATCGCAAGAACCTTGAGCTCCTCGATACGGTTGGCGATCTGATGACGCCTTCCCAGCCTCCTAAGGCGCTGAGCCATCTTCCTGACGAAGCCTTTCTTTGCAGAGGCACCTTCGATGTCATGAATGAAGTCGTCGATGCAATTCTCCATATCATAGGACATCTCCCGGATGTGGTCCCTCCAATTCTTGGCTGAGGGATCGAGCTCATCCATGAGCTCCATCTTGTCAAGAAGAGCTTTCATTATGCTGAGCTCGTCCTTGAGGAAGGAGGCTTGCTTCCTCACACCGGTGAGCATCATGTACTCTTCACCGAGCAGGTTGGCGAGCTTGCCGAGGAGCGGGTTCATCACCCCCATGGTCGCACTTGTTGCCATCCCTGATGGAGCTTAAACTCCTTCGTCTCACTCCG